GCTTTCAGATATCATGCTATGTTACTATGCCTTTATAATATCCCGAAGTTATTGTCATTGAACGCAATTTGTACGTCGTAAGATCTCTATAACGCGATAAAGTCAATATTGCATTCTCCATTCTGAATTAATACCTGCCTTTTATAGTTATATACTGTGGATTATTTGTGGCATTAATTCAATAACTGGCGGAGAAAATGTCCATTGTGTTGAGAATCTTTCTTTAAATTAACAAATTTATTTGCATTGACAACTAATAATGTTAGTTAGTATTGATTAATCTAACGAAAATTAAGGTATGCTGTAATTGATGTTGAAAAATTATTGTCAGATATCATCAACACCATCATCAGCAGTGTCAAGGCCATCACTATCATCGTCGTCATCATCAGCCTTATCATGACTACTGAACTGCGACGATGATGACGAAATTTACAATCACGACAATTATGCTGAAAGGGCGAGTAGTTTAATTTGCTATTCTCTTGGAGGGAACAATTTCATAATGAACAAAATACATGAAAAATACATGGTAAACTTAAGACATGGCCAAAGTAAGAATAAAGTTTACCAGTTTTATTTAGGTAATCAGCAAACCCTATTGTCAAGTATTATCTATTCATCATAGTGCGGTTATGATATCATGTCGAAAAATGGTAATATTTACATTATTCAAACAAGTTTCCAAACTCCATATTGAAAATGAAAGCTTTAATCTCGTGCCACTATCGAAATTGGAAGGGTAAAATAATGATGTTGTTGATCAAGGAAGACGTACAGACTGAAGTGCCGAGGCACTGGTCGATTTCATTACATCCTGACATCATATTTACGAGTTACTTTGACGCATTGACACGTTCCGTGTTCTACACATCATGTTTAAGAGTTACTTTGACGCATTGACACGGTCCCAGTCTTGAACATCATTTTTACGAGTTACTTTGACGTTTTGACACTATCCTTGTCCTACTCATCATATTTAAGAGTTAGTTGGACGCAAAGACAAGGTCCCAGTCTTATAAATCATGTTTACGAGTTACTTAAACGCATTGGCACATTCCCTGTCCTACACATCATGTTTAACAATTGTTCTCTCTCTCTCTCTCTCTCTCTCTCTCTCTCTCTCTCTCTCTCTCTCTCTCTCTCTCTCTCTCTCTCTCTCTCTCTCTCTCTCTCTCTCTCTCTCTCAATTTTAAGACCGAATTATTTTATACAACTATTTTGGGGTTTGTACTTTTTACAATTGAAATATGTGCTTAGACGGTAAGTGATACTTTTTTGATACTGGATTTATGGATTTAAAGTAACTGGAATAAAATGTAAATGCGTAGTCTGAAATGACCTTTCACACAAGTTTAAGTCTGTTATGAACCAGTTGTTTGGATAAAAGGAACAAACGCGTGATTTACAAATAGAATTACCATTTTGAAATTATAATGGGATGATAATATCAATTCAATTTCAAGAAAACAAGTTTCGACAAGTACGCGATCAAAAGCTCCAATGTATTTAAAAGCTTTTAATTTTAATTAATGTGTAATTTATGGACGAGAATGAAATGTACCGTCATTCGTTATTTTCTCACTGTATCTGGATTAGTTAACTAAAAACAATTAATCATACAGAAATTTGATAAAGATAATTATACCCGACAAATAACTGCTATAATGTATTCCTCCCTCGCGTGACTAGACGTTTTATGATTTGACAGCCTACACTATCGTGAGATTTATATGTATAGCCTGGCTTTTATATCATTGGTTATCTGAGATGTTGACTACTAAAATACTTTGATATAAATTTTCGTTTCCCAGCTATTTTATGAGATATAAATTTTTTGGAATAAGCCCGCCTTTATTCTGAATGACACCTGGTCCGGTATTCTCAAAACAGTTTGAGTCAGAAACTGAAACTTTATCTCAAAGTCCAGAAACTTTGAGAGTTTGTATCATTAATTAAAATAAAGCTGGAATAACTAACCTTTTAGACTTTGTTTAAACTTTGGTCCATCGAGTGATCCGTCAAAATTTAAGTAATCTAACTGAATCTTGTGTGTTTCGCTCCAAATATTTTGAGAATACAGGGTCAGAATTTATTTGTGCATGTACATTGAATAGGTTTGAATATAAAAATATTTTAAAGTATCACACAAATGTGAAAGAAAATGTCTGTATGTTTTTCTAATTGTATTGTCCATTGACCAAACCATATTAGTGTCAGATGCATTCAAATCAGTCTCTTCGTTTCTCTATTGAGATGAAAATTTCATTTTTGTGCCACCCAAGTCTTTGACAACGCAGAGTGTAAATAACGTTGTCCCATCATACACCGAGACCTATCAAGACAAAGTCAATTGGACTTAAGATATATGTCACTATGTGCGCTTGCGCAAGCGCGTGTTTGTGTTATTTAGTTATTTAAGAATGCCTTTTTAGTATATATCCTGGCACATAATCAGTTAGCAAGGTATAGATTATTATGCTGGTCCTTGTCAAAAATTGTAATTTAAGGTTGTCTTTAGCTTTCTTTCACAAAGCTATCATGATTAGTAATTAATAATGATGAATTAGATCTTTGTGGCTTGTGCTGTCCTATAATTTACATGACACATGAGCGATTTATGTACGTTATAGCCATAGTCTCCAAAACAGACGACCCTGAGCGCCGCACGACCTTAGGTGATATATTGTGCCACCAATCATTTTGCGTGCCACAGAATACGGCTTTGCGGGCCGAATGAGGCCCGTTAGCCGTGTGTTTGAGACCCTTGTCCTACAGTTACTGGAGAGTGGCATACCGGTTAGGACGAAATATATGTAGTTGTAGACACAATAGTTTCAAGACAAGTATAATAACTCGCAAACGTCCTGGAAGGCAAGTAGAATATCTCACAAACGTCCTGGAAGGCAAGTAGAATATCTCACAAACGTCCTGGAAGGTAAGTAGAATATCTCACAAACGTCCTGGAAGGCAAGTAGAATATCTCACAAACGTCCTGGAAGGTAAGTAGAATATCTCATAAACGTCCTGGAAGGCAAGTAGAATATCTCACAAACGTCCTGGAAGGTAAGTAGAATATCTCATAAACGGCCTGGAAGGCAAGTAGAAGATCTCGTAAACGTCATGGAAAGCAAGCAGAATATATCACAAACGGCCTGGAAGGCAGGTAGAATATCTTACAAATAATCTGGAAGGCGACTATTTTGAACTTCGTCAAGCTGTTTGGTTCACAATGTTTTTCAAAGATACCACGTGAGGAACGTGAAGCTTTGCTTCAAAAGTGACCTTCGGACATGGGAAATATATGTATGAAATGTGGGCTGGGGTGAATACCCATCTTTTACACCGAGCTTGCATACACTTGTCAGGTTTAATGAATCAAGCTATATTTTGCTTTGAATTCTTATATCTATTGTAAACTATGGATCATTTTTTCTTAGCTTTGGTACTGTTTTTGAAGACGTTTTGGATGAGACAGGTTGCTAGCGCATTAAGTTGGGCACATTCAACTGTCCCATGCACCATTAAATATCAGATGATATTTGGAAAGTGGGGAAGTCATCCCCATATTTAATTATTTTTTGTTTGTTTATAGGCATAAAAGTAATTATGTTTATATGGATATTAGTAATTTTTGTTTGTATACATATAAGTAATAATTGTTTCTATGCATACAAGTAATTATGCTTATTTGTTTCGTATAGGTAATTATTGTTTATGTTCATATAAGTAATTATTTTGTTTGATGTATACAAATAATTATTGTTTATATGCATACAAGTATTGTTGGTATGGATATACACAAGTATTGTCTTTATGTATATACTTATTGTTTACATGTACATAAGTAATTATTGTTTATGTCCATATGAGCAAGTTATTGTTTATATGCATGTAAGTAATTATTGTTTATATGCATATAAGTAATTATTGTTTATATGCATATAAGTAATTATTGTTAGCATCCAAATGATCCACTTAAGTGGTAGAGTATCAGCCACTTAATCCAAATGTTGCGGGTTCGATACGTGCACAGGTCAGCCCAAGTGGGATGCTTCTGTGCATCCTTGGGAAAGGCACTTAGCTCCTTAACATTACAAAAATGTGGTAAAAATTAAAACCAGCAAAACAACCAGCAAAACAAACTTTCGTTTTATTGATGAACTCATAGTGCAGGGGAGGTAACCGCTCCTTGCACCTTTAAGTTGGAAGAAGCTGCAATAGGATGAACATTTTTGAATTTAATTTGCTAGATATGAGAAAATAATATAGGTTATGTTGCATTTCCATCAATTTCTAGATATGAGAAAATAATATAGGTTATGTTGCATTTCCATCCTTTTCTAGATATGAGAGAATAATATAGGTTAGTGTTGCATTTTCATCCTATTCTGGATATGAGAAAATAATAGAGGTTATGTTGCATTTCCATCCTATTAAGTATATACTGTCATATTTTAAGGAAAATTATTCATGTCGCAACTTCAAAACTATCTCACATTCACCTTTCTGAAATTCTCGTAACTAAATTTAGTTCATGTACGTAATATCTTTAGGATATCACCATTCAGTTGACATCAGGGTCATTTACCATGCCTTAGCCACAATAAGAAATACAACGGTAATTGATTAATATATCTATGGAAAGCATTTGGATTGATAATAATAAAGAGTTCTGAAAATTAAACGGCAAATACGCGAAAACTTGTGGTAACTGAAGGAAGCTCTTAATGTGAGGGCAATATGTATGTGTGTGTGTGTCTGTGTGTGTGTTGGATTTTTAACGTGGCTTTAACATTTTTCCTATCTTATTGCTACCAAGTCTGCAGTGTGGCAATTTATAGTGATGTCTTGCACTGGGACATGATACCGCAGACATAGCTTCATGTCCCACAAAGTCATAATATTCTGACATCAGGCCGACCAGACTTAACACTAAAATCTTAATTCTTCTCGCCTAGCGAGGCAGCTGTCAGTACCATTTATGTAAATCTTTGCTATGACTCGACCGGCATTCGAAACAACGATCTTCCGCATCCAAAGCGGACACTCTTACCACTTAGGCCACCGGAAAGGTCGTATGCAATGACTAACTATAAGGGAAATAATCCTAGACAAAAAAGCAAGTATCAAGATAAGCAGGAATTACACAACCTACCTCGAAATAAAGATGTTTTTTTTGTGTTTTGTTTACGTTGGTATTTTAACTGCACTATCAATAACAATTGGGCAAATTATGCCAAGGAAATGTGGAGCAAAGAGCCGTTCTCAATTACACATTGAGGTAGCTGATTTGGTGCGGCCTTAGCCGGTATCATGCCTTAATCAAAGTCTTACAAACATGGTTAGGTTTTGTTTCCATCTATATAGATTTATAGATTTTTTCTGTTATCTGTCATCGTCAGATGAAAATTACAATCCCCTGTCCATTGACACCTTTAGAGTAGTGTCACTTTTAATTTTTTTATTATAAGTCTCTTTCACTATGCCTACATATTTTTGACGATTTAGTTCGATGTTTTGAATCACCGGATATAACCACAATCTATGTAGACTAGAGTAATAGATCATATTACAAGGGAGGTAACTTTACATTATCGACTGAAATCAATTATTAAAGAATAATTCGTACGGCTTTATTGTTTCAAAGGTGTGTGAAGCTGGCCATTGCACTAACGATGTGATTATGAAAATTGCCAGTGGCATACCCAATTTTATAAAAAAATATATTCATTGTTAAATTAATTAAATTAATATTAATTAATACCTGACTTTCCTCCAAATAAATGTATTTGTGACACAAAAATATAAATTACAGTGATCTTTAAGAAAATGAGACAGGAAATGAAATGCGCAAACTGCTCTCAAATATAAAGTTCTAATCTTTCAAGAATCTTTGAGAATGACAAGCCATCATATTTATTAAGTAATTTATTATTACAACTTTCAGTTCCAATGCTCACAGTTACATGACAGTTCTTAACAAACTAGATATTTTCCGTCCTAGGACGAAAGTGAATAAGAGAAAGTTTCAAAAAAAAGTATTAAAACAAAAAGTGCGATGAGTAAATTAACATGGAAGTTTGAACATAAGAATACAAAAAGGTATTTTAAAAAATGGGGTGTCGGGTCGAGTTTCGAACTCACGACCTTTTCTTTGGCAACCGTCAATCACATGAAGAAAAATGTGGACATTTATGTATGCAAGACCCAACTCTGTATTAAATACAGCCATATATTTATTATTTCGATCATTCAACAAACCTTAAAAAACCCATGAATTCTTAAGCACCCACATAATGACTTTGAATTCTGGCTTTTATTTTGCAAATGCTAATTTTATTCTAGTAATAATTTATGCTTCCTAACTCCGCTTTGATGTCAAAAGTACTATCTGAGATTAAAAGGGATCATAATTTGATATTAAACTTTCTACTTTCGGGATTTATAAACTTTGTTAGCGACATCATGCACTTACGAAGACACACAATTATTTAAGAAATGTTAAGTTGAAAGATAAACTTATAATTATCTTACAAAAAAAGTTGGTATATGTCTTACATATGCAGTTATGTTTGACACACTCTGTGCCTTCAGTGTAAGTTAATTTATTATTCCAATATTAACTTGCTAGCCCCAACGTAATGTGCTATGAATTGCAGATTTGTATCATAGCGTATATATATTTCAATAAGATCTAATTATTTTCTGTAATAAACGTAATGCATTTGTGGCAGACTAATTGACACCAATAGATAATTAACAATCTAGATTACAGAAGTCGTAAATAATTCGGTCTTTGAAGAACTCCACCAGGGGCAAATGAAGATCAAAGGAAATAAAATGCGGATTAGCAGATTACGTGATTTTCAAACGTGTTACTGTGCTTTATGGCTTGGAATTAAAACGACCGATTTTAACCAAGTTTCTATGTACACAACAATTCTATATTCTTCGTCACCTTATTTAAGTAATAAATTTGAAAAGATGCACTACGATAAACTCTCTCATCATCAGACCACAAAGAATCAATTCAAATATTTACTGCTTGGATAAGACATAGCAATGCGCTAATGGGAATTTATTCGGACTATACAAACAGAAGGGGTTATTCTCTTTTTATAAAGCCTTACTTTTTCATGTTTGATGTTGCTTTGATGTTCTTGAGAGTTTTGATTCTTACGCTTATCATCTAGCATTTTTATGGAAAAGCAATTATTTCCTTTCTCACGAATTTAGACTGTTTGCATGGAGTTGTATTTCATTTCAAAATATGTTATTGAGAATTTCGGTATAACTGTTTTAAAAAAAACCCCAACAAAAAACAAAATAAAAGAGCATCTGCAGTGAAACGTCATCGTAAACATACTGAAAGTGGATATGGACATTTTGTAATTGAATAATAGTACTGTGTAAGTGGATATGGACATTGCGTAATTGAATAATACCATTGTGTAAGTGGATATGAACATTGTGTAATTGAATAATATCCTTGCGTAAGTGGATATGGACATTGCGTAATAGAATAATAGCATTGTGTGAGTTTAATGGCATTGTGTGAGTATAATGACATTCTGTGAGTATAATAGCATTCTGTGATTATGATAGCATTGTGTGAGTATAATAGAATTGTGTGAGTATAATAGCATTGTGTGAGTATAATAGCATTGTGTGAGTATAATAGCATTGTGTGAGTATAATAGCATTGTGTGAGTATAATAGCATTGTGTGAGTATAATATCATTATGTTAGTGTAATAGCATTGTGCGAGTATAATATCATTATGTTAGTGTAATAGCATTGTGTGAGTATAACAGCATTGTGTGAGTATAATAGCATTGTGTGAGTATAATAGCATTGTGTGAGTATAATAGAATTGTGTGAGTAATATCATTGTGTAAGTGAATTATAAAATTATGTAAATTATAAAATATCACCGTATATGTGAATAGTTTTATTGTGTAAATGAATCATGTTATTGTGTAAGTGAAAATTTCAATGTAAAATGAATCATGTCATTGTGTAAGTGAAAATAGCATTGTACAAATGAATGATGTCATTGTTTAAGTGAAAATGGCATTGTACAAATAAATAATGCAATTGTGTAAGTGAAAATAGCCTTGTACAAATGAATAATGTCATTGTGTAAGTGAAAATAGCATTGTACAAATGAATAATGTCATTGTGTAAGTGAAAATAGCATTGTACAAATGAATAATGTCATTGTGTAAGTGAAAATAGCATTGTACAAATGAATGATGTCATTGTGTAAGTGAAAATAGCATTGTACAAATGAATGATGTCATTGTGTAAGTGAAAATAGCATTGTACAAATGAATAATGTCATTGTGTAAGTGAAAATAGCATTGTACAAATGAATAATGTCATTGTGTAAGTGAAAATAGCCTTGTACAAATGAATAATGTCATTGTGTAAGTGAAAATAGCCTTGTACAAATGAATAATGTCATTGTGTAAGTGAAAATAGCATTGTACAAATGAATAATGTCATTGTGTAAGTGAAAATAGCATTGTACAAATGAATAATGTCATTGTGTAAGTGAAAATAGCATTGTACAAATGAATAATGTCATTGTGTAAGTGAAAATAGCATTGTACAAATGAATAAAACCAAAGCAGGTAATGATAATGAGTCATTCCTCAATCAGAACGTTTGAAAGATTAGAATAATTTTACTTGCCGAAAATGAACGAGAAGTTTTTACCTATGGAACAAATTTCTTTTATGAAATACCTTTTTTAGGTAAAGATATTCCATGTAGAATAAAGAATATTAGATTTAATTTTCAGAAAAGTCAAAACTGAGTCTGTATTTTGGATAATCACTCTGTGATAGAAATTTCATTTTTACCTTTGGCAAAGTCCCACTCGGAATTTGTGCTTAGTGGAATGGAGGTAAATGAAAGAAAATTAATTGGGAAATTAATTAATAGTTTCAAGTGTATTATTATTATTATTATTATTATTATTATTATTATTATTATTATTATTATTATTATTATTATTATTATTATTATTATTATTATTATTATTATTATTATTATTATTATTATTATTATTATTATTATTATTATTATTATTATTATTGCTGTTGTTGATGATGATGTTATTGTTCGTTTCATTTCTGTTTTTATATAATTTTCAGTACCTTAACATCTGTACGGCACTTTTCTCAGTTCGCGTATGAATGCATAAAACATAAAAAAACAGCCTTATACGCAAAACTCACTCAGTGATCCAAGGTTGTCAATTGGTGAAGAAAACTTATTGTGCTAAATTTAAATGTAAATCAAGCGAGTAGCTAGCATTAGCTGGCATTAGCTGACAGTCAATTTTCGTGGTCATCCTTAGTCATTTAAAGAACGTGACCCGATCGGGTGCTGTGTCATCGTAGATTTTTTCATCACAGGTACGCCAGAAGCAGTCCAAGTAAACGTGACTTTAAAAGCGAAACAATGACAGAAACCTGTCTAACTCAACAAAAGCTCAGTAATATATGTCCATTGTGTTATATATCACATTCATCAAAAAGGTCACAGCATTCAACGACCACCTTCTTTAACCTCATTAACTTCAGAAATACGGGTGGCGCTTTATAGTTTCGTATTTTGTATAGATTTTAAAAGAAAAAAAATCACCGGTTTTTCTCACTAATTATACTGGCTTTTTAAAAATAAAAAAGACATTGTATATCTTAGGAATTGCTCAAAGAACCTTAAATCACATTTATTTTGGTATATGTAAAATTGGTTATAGAGTACACAGCTTGGTCTTACTCCAAATGTGCATCATTAAAAACTGCTAGCTTCACTTGGTCAATTTCATTTTCTGGACTTCAGAGGCAAATTGTAAAGAAAGAGATGATAGGTTTTATTTTTTACATTTTATGTATTTGGTAATTCATTCATTGCACATTCAGAAGCTTATGTTGTTTAGTCTGGCAAAGTTCACTTTCCCTATTTCAGTAACTGCTAAAGATATTGTGCTTGAGGCTGATGCAATTTTACCACAAGGGAAAAGTCATTTTAATTAACTTTGTGCTTAGGTCATGTGCAGTTT